ATTGATCGACGCCTTCTACTTTCTGTTATTATGCTCTCCATGATCATTTACATGTATTCATGAATTGTATACCTTATGAGTTGAGTCTGAGTTAAAGATAAAGGTGAGGTCTGGTCATCCGATTAATTGTGAAAGAAAAGGTGTGGAATGGATCAGAAAAAAATTGATCATGTAACATGTAAGTATTAGAGTGTACTGCAAAGTCCTGGAGTCATCAAAATCATAATAAATTTGACCCAGTCTTGGTAAAGTAACAAGCACTGTACAGAAAGATTTATATGGAACTACACAAATGGTGTCGGGGCTACTAACCTTGATTTCCTAATCTTTCAATGCTCATTACTCAGCCAGTATGAATTTTCTACCAAAATTGTTTGGTAAATGACTTTTATTTGTAATCTTGAATATTCAGTGTAAGTTTTGTTTGATTCTGTGAGAATTCATTTTCATTTTTTTTTACCAGAACTCACCTTTATCTTTAACAGAACTTAATGGTGAGTTTACATACTCTGTACAGATAGCAACCAAACTATCCATATTTCCAACAGACAACAAAAGCATTCCAGAATCAACTGTTAATATGAAACTAATAAATACTTACATGATATGAGGATTAGCAGGATGCACTACAAAGGTTTTCAGACTGAGTGACTCAAACACCTCATAGTATAATAGTATCAATTATGAAGTACACCGACTGCCATAAAAGACTTCCTGTACCCTGGTTGCCATCACCAGACTGTGATTAAAGAAGCATGGCAGCAAAAGCGATATATAAAGGGCGAGAGAGAGAGAGAGAGAAAGAGAGAGAGAGAGAGAGAGAGAGAGAGAGAGAAAGAGAAAGAGTGAGAGAGATATGGAAATAAACTTTTGTCCACACTTGAAAATGGAAAAGCTGTCATGACGAATGTTGTCAAAAGATAACAAATTATTCATTGAACCGATCGGTTTAACAAAGAAGTAATTCCTTTGTAGCGCGTCACAGTTTTTGTATTGACTGAGCGATGGATACCCTCGCACAAATCAATCCTGGGAAATATTTTGAGAATCAACTCTTGTCAAGGTCGGGGTATATGGAATTAAAGTGACTCGGTAACATTGTTGAAGGTTGATGGAAAAACTGCGTCATTTTTGTATAAAATGTTACTTATTATATTCCTTCTACTGTACTTACCCTCTGACAATGCAAAATTTCCTGAAAAATTCTCAAACCACAAAGATATTTATAGTTTTCTTTGAAGGCTTCACTGTGCGACATCCTCTAAACATTAAATTCTCCCAACCATTTCTGAATTTACCCAGCCGTTTTGCTATGAGAAGAAGACATAAGACAAGTTGTAAACAAAATGGCAACACTTAAATGTCTGGAACCGTATATAGAGCCAATTTATTGCTATTTGTAACGATTTACATTCACCTAAAATGTAATTGAATTGTAATAATATAGTAATATATATCGGATCAGTTTTTCCCGATTTTTATCATTAATAATGGTCTGTTTTCACTCAAATTTTCATACTATCTTTAATTGTATATCTAACATTGAAGTTACTACCTTAGCACCATTTTATCTCATCTGAACAATGTTACCAATTCCCTTTAACAAATTGTTCCAGATGGTAGGGAACCTGGGAAATATTACCACGATCAAACTATATGTTTACGCCCAGGTGAGTTGTTTGCTTTGTGTGTTATTTCTACAATTAGTTTCAGTTGAGTTCCTCTTTCGGATGCACCTATACACGATGAAATGACACACAAATTAAAAGAGTATTCGATAGAGAGCAAATGTGTCTTTAAACAAATGAAAAAAAGGAATACCTTTACAATAATTATCAAAAACAAAATTTATTTTCGATGGCTAATGCCAACTCTCTTTGCAAGAGTTTGTTGTTATGATATTTGAAACTGGGTCATGCATATCTGCATATTACGTTTAGGCCTACAATATACATGTATTATACTTGTTGTAAACGTTCAAATATTCTTGCATTCTATACAGTCTCTGGTATTAAAAGCAAATCGTAAAACGAGAAGTGTACTTCGTCTCATGAGTTCTTAAGAATTTGCTGAAAAACGAACCGAATAGTACTTCCAAACGGTTTAAATCTTATAATTCCAACATGTCTAGCATGTTAAATGAACAATCTGAATAATATATATCAGCGGCACGTCCAGAAACTGATAGACTCGAGGGTGGGAAATTTCGATTCCTACATATAGGGAGGGGCCGGGAGCGAAGGCCTATACCTGGGCAGCCCTGCGTGATTATATTTTTTGTCGTGGCATCAAACGGGTGCGAACGTCAGCTCCATCCCTTGCTCAATACACCACAAAATGAATGTTAATATGTGTTTGCTAACATAATGCAGTAACAGAACGTTGTCGTTTCCACATCGACGTCCTCTAATTACATGTATATGCACCATTTCCGTGTTGAGGCCTCGTAACGTACTTGACTTACAATTTGTCCCTATTTATGCATTGTTCGAATATCGAATCTATAAGGTGGTATAAACTAAAGTTTAAATACCGTCTTCTCCGATTGCATCAAAATTTGTTGGCCCAATAATATTGAATTCCTGTATTTACAAAAATAATTTTTCGTTGATTTTTTTTTTGATTAGGGTAATTTAGACAAACAGAGAACGCAAAACGGTTGATGTGAGAGAGGGAGAAAGAGAGACTGACATAAAAAAGGGAGGGAAGGCACACAGTAAAAACGCTGCTTAAAAAAGTGATGTTCACTTACAGTTGTACACTATCTTAAACAACACTTGAACACATTGTAAACAATGTTGCTCGAAACGAAAGTAATTTTGTTAAACATTCGCTGTTTAAAATTTAATGACTGCTATATTTACTATACGAGAGCTTTTAGACAGTGTTGTTTACATATGACGTCATGTGTCTCGTGCCAGTAAAGTGCGCGTTGGCTAAAAGCTTTATTTCACATTGTTATGTTTAGAAACAGGTTCCTTGAAACTAACATGCAATTGAAATTAACATGCCACTTAGAAATGCAGTGCAGCTGTTTAGGCACAGCTCATTGTTATTCATATTAGATGCATACACACAATGCAAGTGTATGCAAGGGTCTTCTGTTGACTACACAGATTGATAGGTCTGGATTAAACTACCAAAGCAACCACACGTGTTTCTGCAGGCTCCATTTTGTTTGTCTCTATACTTACATTTATTTAGCTTAATAGTTACTTTCCAACCCACAACACAACACACATCATGGCCGACCAAGCTACCGACGCGCTTCTAATTGACTGGGGATTCAATGGCTTAATTGAAATCACTTTTCTATTAACCAATTTGAAGTTTTTAACTTATTGCGTAAGTTCACAGTTAAAATTTTCAGTATCTGTACGCAAATGTCAGAATATAGGTAGACTTAAAATCGTCGCGTCATGCAGTGCGGCACTGATCGCGCACTCGGTTATAACGTGTGCTAAATTCCTTGCCATAGAGATTGCATGCATCCCTATATAATGCAGTTTATACGTGCGTGCATGCGCGCTCATGCAAAATGGGCACTGTTTTGGCGCTAATTCATGAATTGCAGAATTACCCTACCATATTGTTAGTCTTCATATACCTATAATATAGAGACCCAGAAGTAGTGGTGCACTTATTAAGAGTATCAAACCCAAATTATACGCCATTATACAACCCTTTTGTTGTAAACAACCCCCACTGAACAACAGCTCCTTTTTAAACAACTTTCTTTAAACAACCCAGTTGGTGTAAACAACCCCCACTAAACAACAGCTCCATTTTAAACAACCGTCTTTAAACAACACCAGTTGTTTAAATTGTGATTTTAAACAAGTTGTTCAAAATGTTGATCAACTAAGTGTTCAAACTTTAAACAACTCGAGATGCTTAACATTTTAAACAACTTTCAGATCAGGTCACCCGTTAATCAAGAGTTGTTTAAACTTTTAAACAACTTGTTCACAACATTTTTAACTGTGCAGTCATCAAAGGTACCACACAGTCACAAAGGTCCTGTTCACATTTATAAGTAACTTGGGTAACGCGTTTACACTTCTGCTACAGTAAGTCTATGTAAGTGGCCACAGGCTTGTTCATATCCTAGTTTTGAAATGGGAACCCACACACATTTCCATGTCATGAGGTGATCATACACATCGTAAACATAATCCTACTCTTCTACCGATTATATGCCTTTTAAAGTTTTTTGAAATAGTACACACTTATGTACTTGCAAAATTAACTCGTCAATTCAATATACTGTTTAATAACATATACCGGCGATATATTGTGTGTCTCAATACTTAAGTAAATCAGCATTAACATACTCATCCAATTCTCCGCATTAATATATTCACATACAATGCCTATTTAACAGATTTGCTACACTACGCGTTCGATCATCTAAAATAACTCATTCGGATTTTGAAGGAAAAAATCCCACCCTCCATTCATTGAACACTTATAAGTAGAAACCATAATGACATTTTTTCACCTTAACTCGAAATTTTGACCACGATCCCGTCTTTTGATCAAAACTTGAATCTAATCACAATTATGTGTAGAGTAAAGTCGCAGCTCCATCATAATAGGATTTTTAATGTTCAGAAAGGGCTGATACGCGTAGTAAGTTGGTTCAATAAAAATGTTGACCAATTATAAAGTTTTACGAATGCGTACACGACCGCCATGACGCACGCACGGAAATGGTTGTGACTTAAAGTTTACCCATGACGTCAATTCTATGCATATCAAATACCATTCAAAAATGACAACGTATGACGGAATTATGGTCAATAATAGATAGTCCTGAAATATTTATTGCTACTGCTTGTCATAGTAGCATTAGGTCTTTCCTCTCAAACGGTAATCATTCCGTCACGTATGTTTCTCACTATTCAACATTATTATTAGTACGTCTGTAATTTCTAATTCTATTTCAATTTATGTATATATTGAAGGGTATGTATATTAACAGATATTGCTGAGGAGGGATTTATCCTGCGAATTCAAGCATTACTCTCTGACATTTTCTCTGTGACCGACAATGTATGGCTGTGAAACTCGTAGGCTCTCGCTCTACTATCTCATTCTATTAACGAAAGCGACGGATGCAGGCGATTGGCTCAGTGATGTCCTTGGAGCGACAGCGAATGATGGCTAGCATCACCTTGCGGAACTCTGGCATTGTCCTGGCGTAAATTAGAGGGTTGACGCAACTGTTGAAGGTCAACATTATGCCTGTCCAAGGGATGCCCGGATCGCTCGAATAGATGAGAACGCACACACCGAACGGGAGCAGGCAGATGATGAATGCTAGCACCACAACGGCAAGTCTTTTCGTCACCGTGACATTGTACTTGTTCAGGTGTGGTCTTGCCTTGGTATCAGGCGAATTTTGCTGAATGGGTCTTAGACGTTTCTGATTAGCTTTGGTACCTTCTGGAGACAGCCTTGGTTGATTCCCAGACATTTCAAGGGGTGTGTTTTTTGGTAAATTCTCAATTCTCAATTTGCCCGGTCCATTTGATGTATCTGTTTCGGTTGATGGTGATGTGTCAAGGTTTGAAGTTGAACGGCTTTGTGTGATTGTCATTCCAGATGTGAGAGTGTTCGGTTCATTCGAAACAAACTCTGATGAGCTCATTTCCACGTTGACATTGTCTATGCCACGCGCCTGGGGTGCTCCTGCTATTTTGAGCTGGTTCATCTTTTTACTTTGTCTCGATACGAAAATATAGATCCGAACGTAGATAACAACGGTGACAATGAACACAGGGATGATAGCGCATGCCCCGGCTATAAGGCTATATAAGAATGAGGTTGGAATTGAATTATCCTGCCCGCATGCTTTGAACTTGTGAGAATATCCCAGTCTGCCCAAACCAGCAAAGTGAGGTACCAGGACCAAAAGAGCTGGGTATATCCAAGCGCTAAGCAGCATGAAGCATATGTTTCTAGTTGTGTAGAGTTTCTTGAATTGAGTCCCTGATTTTGTCAGCAGGTACCAGCGGTTAAATGCGATGAAAGCCAGCGTCGTGACACTGGAACCCAGACAGACCCAGTGCACGGCCGAATTGGCTGCGCAGATCCATCCGGGCAAAGGCCATCCGTCACTTACAGAGGCGACAACATTAAACGGAAGACAGAGACATGTGAGAAGGTCGGAACAGCCCAGGTTGACGATGAACCAGTTGGTGGATGAGCGAAGTTTACGGGAAAGGACTACTGCGGTGATGACAAGTGTGTTGCCGATGGATCCCACAACGAAGACGATACAGAGGATAATGGCTATAGCAATTCGCTGGTTGTAATCTTCAAACACAAAGATATCCGTATCGCTACTCCTGTTAGTGATTATGGCCTTGGTTGTTGGGAGAATATTACCTTCCATAATTATCTCGTCTTACGTCGTCGGCTCGTCTTCTGAAAAATAGAAATAGAAATCATGAAGAGAAGAAGTAGATTACATCAGTTTAAACAAGCGCTACTGTCCGTTGCATATGCGGCGTCACCTGACTGACGTTTAGGACTGCGTCCATGATTATTACCAGGGCGCTTGAGCAAAGACGACGGGAGAATAACGGCGATACAGATCTGTCGTCGTGTTTAGGGAATGAACGCTATCATGGCCGCGTACGGTCGTGAAAATCAACAGGACGGAGAAAATTCTGATTCGCGCGTGCGCAGTTTGTTTTTTCGCTCGCGTTACCGTCGTATTTGCCTTCCGTCCTGTTTGCTAAAGCGCGCTACTGTATTTTAATAAGGCGCGATGTGGGGATCGTAAAATGAAAAGGGCATCCATCGATACGAAATGCTAGTTCATGCACAAATTGCCATCAATGGTCTAATTAATATAGCCTATATATATATATATTACGCAATCAAAATGACGCCCCGTGTGCAAAGCATAGGGCATAACATGTACCACATACACGTAGCCTCTTTCGGATGAAATGAACGGCATTAGGTATATCCTTTCAATTGCTGAAAAACAATACCCATTTTGTCAAGATTCGTGTTAACCTTCATGCATGAATGGACAAAGCCATGATCACTTGATGAACGTTATGACGATGATCGTCATAATGTTCCAAATGCTGAAGGTACAATATCTGATATCACTATAGAACTAAATTAGCATGACGCGATATATATCATGAACACCTCTACATAATACTATCAGAGCGAGAATAATAAATAAAGCATGCTTTATGAAATTACACGTTCATGATTGGATGTTAAGTAGGGCTTATCTATGATCACGCCCATCATGTTTTTATTCAAGTATTTTTATTGTTGGTTATTTAAGGGGCAGTTGAGTTCTTGTTTAAAGATACTGTGTCCCATTTGCAGCCAACATCAAATGCATTTGGGTTTCACTTTAAATGATTACGTTGTATTTAACATGAATGAATAAAAAATACCAGCACCAGCAGACTCGGTATTGATCGAAGCCTTCTTTTTTCTGTTATTATACTCTTCATGATCATTTACATGTATTCATGAATTGTATACATTAGGGACCGAATTCACAGAGGTTTGTCGACAAACCTTGGTTTTCGTACGTCATATGACGCGTTTTTACGCCTTTTTAAAAAAAACAAATCTGGTTTGTAAAAACGCGTCGAAACGCGTCATATGACACAGTTAAAGATAAAGGTGAGTTCTGGTCATCCGATTATTTGTGAAAGAAAAGGTGTGGAATAGATCAGAGAAAAATGATCTTGTAGCATGTATTAGTGTGTACTCCAAAGTTCTGTAGTCATCAAAATCATAATAAATTTGGCCCAGTCTTGGTAAAGTACTGTAACAAGCACTGTACAGAAAGATTTATATGGGACTACACAAATGGTGTCGGGGCTACTAACCTTGATATCCTAATCTTTCGATGCTCATTACTCAGCCAGTATAAATTTTCTACCAAAATTGTTTGGTAAATGACATTAATTTTTAATCTTGAATATTCAGTGTAAGTTTCGTTTGATTCTGTGAGAATTCATTTTCCTTTTTTTTTTTACCAGAACTCACCTTTATCTTTAACAGAACTTAATGGTGAATTTATATACTCTTGACAGATAGTAACCAAACTATCCATATTTTCAACAGGAAAAAGAAGCATTCCAGAATCAAATATAAATATGAAAATAATATTTACTTACATGATATGAAGATTAGCAGGATGCACTACGATGGTTTTACAGACTGAGTGACTCAAACGCCGTATAGTAAAATAGTATCAATTATGAAGTACACCGACTGCCATACAAGACTTCCTGTACCCTGTTTGCAATCATCACAGTGTGATTAAAGGAGCATGGCAGCAAATGTAATCTAGAAAGGGCGAGAGAGAGAGAGGGAGAGAGAGAGAGAAAGAAAGAAAGGAAGAGAGAGAGATAGAGAGAGTATATGGATAGTAACGGATAGTTGGGAACCTGGGAAATATTATCAAACTATATTCTTACGCCCAGGCGAGTTGTTTGCTTTATGTGTTATTTCTGTATTTAGTTTTAGTAACGGATAGTTGGGAACCTGGGAAATATTATCAAACTATATTCTTACGCCCAGGCGAGTTGTTTGCTTTGTGTGTTATTTCTGTATTTAGTTTTAGTTGAGTTCATCCTTTGGAAGCGCCTATACACAATCAAATTATACACACATAAAAAGAGTATTCGATGGAGAGGAAATGTGTCTTTAAACAAATGAAAAAAGGAATATGTTTACAATAATTACTCAAAACAAAAGTTATTTTCGATGGCTATTGTCAACTCTCTTTTTAATTGCTTCTTGTTGTAAGATATAAAAATTGGGTCATGCGAATCTGCATCACGTTTAGGCCTACACTGTACATGTATTATATTTCATCGGAAACGTTCAAATATCCTTTCATCCTAAACAGTCTTTGATATTAAAAGCAAATCGAAAAACGAGAAGTGTACTTCGTTTCATTTAATCTTATAAATCTGCTAAAAATCGGATATTTCAACATGTTTTAAATGTTAAATGAACAATCTGAATAATATATATCAGTGAAACCGATAGACTCGAGGGTGGGAAATTTCGATTGCTACATATAGGGAGGGGACGGGAGCGAAGGCCTACACCTGGGCAGCCCTGCGTGATTATATTTTTTTGTCGTGGCATCAAACGGGTGCGAACGTCAGCTCCATCCCTTGCTCAATACGCCACTAAATGAATGTTAATATGTGTTTGCTAATTTATATGCAGTAACAGAACGTTGTCGTTTCCACATCGAATTCTTCTAATTACATGTATATGCACCATTTCCGTGTTGGGGCCTCCTAACGTACTTGACTTACAATTTGTCCCTATTTATGCATTGTTCGAATATCGAATCTATAAAGTAGTATAAACTGAGCTGTGTTAAAAGTAAAGTTTAAATACCGTCCTCTCCGATTTCTTCAAAATTTGTTGGCCCAATAATATTGAATTCCTGTATTTACAAACATAATTTTTCGTTGATTTTTATTATGTTGTTTTACCGTTGAAAAATATTGATTTTTTTAAATAAATCATACTACTTTATTGTGTGTGACAGCTAGATATAAGCATAGCGATATAACGAGAGAGAGAGAGAGAGAGAGAGAGTGGGGGGGGGGAGAAAGGAGTACGTAATCCTTTAACCAATACGGAGGCTTCGGAAGAATAGACAGACGGAGAAGGGAGAAACTGGAGATTTGGGTGATTTAGACAGAGAAAGCAAAAAGGTTGATGTGAGAGAGGGAGAAAGAGAGACTGACAGAAAAAAGGGAGAGAAGGCAGTCATCAGAGGTACCACACAGTCACATATAAGTCCTGTTCACATTTACAAAAAAAACTTGGGTAACGTGTTTACACGTCGCTACAGTAAGTCTAAGCAAGTGGCCACAGGTTTGTTCACATCCTAATCTTGAAATGGGAACCCACACACATTACCATGTCATGAGGCATCCGTACACATCGTAAACATAATCCTACTCTTCTAACGATTCTATATCTAATTTTAAAGTGTATTGAAATAGCACACACATATTATGTACTTGCAACATTAACTCATCAATTCATTATACTGTTTAATAACATATACCGGCGATATATTGTGTGTCTCAATACTAAAGTAAATCAGCATTAGCATACTCATCCAATTCTCCGCATGAATATTCACATACAATGCCTATTTACAAGATTTGCTACACTACGCGGTCGACTCATTCGGATTTTGAAGAAAAAAAATCCCACCCTCCATTTATTTGACACCTACAAGTAGAAACCATAATCATGACCGATTTTCACCTTAATTCGAAATTTTGACCACGATCCCGTCTTCTGATCAAAAATTGAATCTCATCACATGAGTAGAGTAAAGACGCAGCCCCATCATAATACACAGTTAGAACGGTGTTTAAAATATCGCTGTTTAAAAGAATGTTGTTTAAAAACGTAAACAACGTTGTTCAAAATCGAAAAATCAGTGCTCGATTGGCTTAAACAACTTTTTATTAAAAAACAAAAAGATTTAATTAAACAGAGTTGTTTAAAAAGTCCCGGGGGAAATATCACGTGATAGATTTAACCAATCATGATTTCGCGTCGATACGCGATTGCAATTCGCGCGCACACATGCGATTTGCACAAAGTACGTACATAGTATACATGCATGCAGCATGCAGTGCTATAGTGCAGTGCAGACGAAAATGGCGGAACAAGGGCAAGGCGACGACTTGGTTCTTCTCGGCTTCGCCGATCTGGTTTAGGTGAAGTTATAGAGACAAATAATAATGTTGTCTGTCACCGTTAAATTAATATGATGAACAAATGTTGAAGTATATTGGCAACAAACTCTACATGTAACAGTGTAATCTTTGTGATTATTGCAGGAGTGGTTCCAGTAGGTCATTTCACAAATTTAAACAACCAGGTAATAACCATTAAACAGTTCTGTTTAAAATTTAAGCAACTCCTTTTAAACAACCCTGTTGTGCAGTAATATTGAATAAACAACAGTTGCTTAGTAATTTAAACATTATTGTTTAAAATGTACACAACTTGCTTTAAACAACCGAGTTGTGCAATTTTATTACTAAACAACTGTTGTTTAAAAGTTTTCCTAATTTTTAAACAACTAAGTGTTCAAAACGTAAACAACCTTAAATTGTTTAATTTTTAAAGAACAGTTGAGCGATTCACTGGGTAATTTGGGGTTGTTTAAAATTTTAAACAACTTGTTTAATTTTTTTCTAACAGTGTAGGATTTTAAATCTTCAAAAAGGGCTGAAACGCGAAGTAAATTGGTTCAATAAGCATTTTCACCCACGTTTGACAAATGCGTACACGACCGCCATGGCGCGCGTACAGACATCGATATGACTTAAAGTTTACCCATGACGTCAATTCTATGCATATCAAATACCATTCAGAAATGACAAAGTATGACGGAATTATGGTCAATAATAGATATTAACAAAATGGCGCCTAGATGACGTAACGCATCAGTATTCAAGAAAAATCTCTTCGTTAGGATCAATAATCATGCATTTGGCACATGTCATGAAAATTCCATCGTCATTAACCATCTCGTTCATAAGATATAAAGCAAAAATTAACCATACATAAAGAATAGGGGAAAAGATAGATTCTGACGAAATCAATAGATCCTCTGCTAAGCTACAGATCACCTAATAATGATACCTCGTCGTTAACCGTGAGAATATTCACTTCTAAAATATACACTTCCATCTCTCTCTGCTAATTCCTGCGAACAATGGAATCAACCGAGTGCAATCCATCCATCCATCCATCCAAAAGATATTTGATATAGCGCCTTTTCCTTGCAGTTACAAAGCGCTGCACACACGCTCCACAATGTTTGGGCCACTTAAAAACAAAAATTAAACACTTCTCAGAGATCAGTAAAGTATATGTAGGCTGGTAATTAGTAGTTTCTAGCAGAATAGATGTGACTTGAGTACAGGGGCGTACGCGGGATTTTTTCAAGGGGGGGGGGGGAGGTTTTAAAAATCGGGCCCAAAATATTTTGCTCCCGAAAATTTTTAAAATCGCGCCGGCCGAAAAGTCGCTCAGTGGGGGGGGGGGGGGGGGGGTCTCTAAATTTGAAAATTTGACATTTTTCTTCGTTGGGGGGGGGTAAGGTCACCTTTTTTAGGTTAGCCGTGGGCATATTTAAAAAAAAAAAAAAAAATCCAAAGGTGGGGGGTTTTAGGTTTTTTTAGGGGGGTTTACACACATAAAAATACCAAAGGGGGGGGGGTTTGAACCCCCAACCCCCCCCCCCCCCCTGCGTACGCCCCTGCTTGAGTAGTTTCTTGAACTGGTCAACAGATGAGGCCGTCTGCACAGCAGTAGGTAGTTGGCTCCACAGTTATTTCGGACTCGAGGACGACGAAAAAAGCAGTCAGCTATGTACGGGGGACATCGGTGGTTGAGAGACTTGTAGACCAGTAGTAGGATCTTAAAAGCAATTCTCTGTCGTACAGGCAGCCAATGGAGTTCAAGTCGAAGAGGTTGTATGTGAGTCCGAAGAGGAGCAGAGAAGACAAGCCTTGCCGCTGAGTTTTGGAGTCTCTGAAGGCGATCAAGGTCCCTCTGGCTGAGAACACTGAAGAGGCTGTTGCAGTAGTCTAGTCTGGAAAGGACAAGAGCCCTTGCCGCAGCGTGGCATGTTGACTTCAATAAACCGCCTCACCCTCCACAGGTTACGTAGGTGGTACTTGATGCTTCTGCTGAGAAGGTTGACATGAAGACTTAAGTTCACAGATGGTTCAAGTGTTACTCCCAGATTGCGGATGGACTTACATGGTTGGAAGGATTTCTCACCAATCATCAGTTTGACATCGTTCATTAGATAGGATGACCGATGATGCGGTGAAGCAGAGACAAAGAATTCAGTCTTGCCATCGTTAAGTTTGAGCTTGTTCGCATTCATCCAACGCTGAATTTCAGTGATACAACTACTGAGTCTGCCAAGCGCAGCATCAATTGCAACTGGATCAGTTGGGTCAAACATCACTTAGATCTGAATGTCATCTGCATACATGTGAAAGAATACTCCATGAGCCCGAAGAATATTACCAATGGGACGAATGTAAAGGGTGAAAAACAAGGGTCCGATGACAGAACCTTGTGGAATTCCATGTGGCAATCTACAAGCTTTCAAAAGCCGACCAGAGATTAGAACATGGCTGTTCCGGTCTTCAAGGTATGAATGGATAAGCTTGAGAGCGAGACCTGTAATACCAAAATGGTCTTCAAGACGATTCAGCATAATCTTATGGTCTACTGTGTCAAACGCAGCAGAAAAGTCAAGCAGCACCATCATTTCTCCTTTCTGACTGTCAATGGCTTGAAGTAAATCCGTCTGAATGTAAAGTAGTGCTGTTTCAGTGCTATGGTGTTTTTTGTATGCCGATTGCATGGGCTCAGCAAGTCCATTGTCCTGGATGTGCTCAGTAAGTTGTCTAAGCATTATTCGCTCTATAATCTTAGACCGAAATTGTATATTTGACACAGGGCGATAACTCCGCAGATCATTTCTATCTAGTGACGCTTTCTTGATGACTGGTATCACTAGCGCCTCTTTGAGATCAGTAGGAAAGACACCACTAGACAGAACCTGGTTCGTAAGGTTTTTTGGTAAATTCTCAATGGCTGTCAACTGTTAAACTTATTTTTCATGAGTCCTGAAATATTTATTTGCTACTGCTTGTCATAGTAGTATGAAATCTTACCTCTCAAATGGTAATCATTCCGTCACGTAAGTTTCTCACTTTTCAACAGTTATTATAAGTACTTCTGTAATTTCTAATTCTGTTTTATTTGATGTAGATATTAAAGGGGGTATATATATATATATATATTTACAGCTATTGCTAAGGAGGCATTTATCCTGCGATTTCAAGTATTACTCTCTGACATTTTTTCTGTGACCGACAATGTATGGATGTGAAACCGTCTCGAGTGCTGTTGCTCTACTTGGACTATCCCATTCCATTAACGAAAGCGACGGATGCATGCGATTGGTTCAGTGATGTCCTTGAGGCGACAGCGAATGATGGCTAGCATCACCTTGCGGAACTCTGGCATTGTCCTGGTGTAAATCAGAGGGTTGACGCAACTGTTGAAGGTCAACATCAGGCCTGTCCAAGGGATACCCGGATTGCTTGAAGGAATGAGAACGCTCACAGTGAACGGAAGCAGGCAAATGACGAATGCTAGGACCACAACAGCAAGTCTTTTCGTAACCGTGACGTTGTAATTGTTCAGGTGTGGGTCTGCCTTGTTATCTGGCGAACGTTGCTTGATGGGTCTTAGACGTTTCTGATTAGCTTCGGTACTTTTTGGAGACTGCCTTGATTGATTCTCAGAATTTTCAAGGGGTGTGTTTTTTGGTAAATTCTCAATGGCTGTCAATTTGCCCTCTCCATTTGATATATCGGTTTCGGTTGTTTGTGATGTTTCAAGGTTTGAAGTTGACCGGCTTTGTGTGATGTTCTCTTCAGGTGTGAGAGTGCTCCGTTTAGTAGAGGGAAACTCTGATGAGCTAATTTCCATGTTGACATTGTCTATGCCTCGCATCTGGGGTGCTCCGGACTTTCTGAGCTGTTTCATCTTTTTACGTTGTCCCGAAACGAAAAGATAGATCCGAACGTAGATAACACCCATGACAATGAACGCAGGCATGATGGCGCATGCCCCGGCTATGAGGCTATATAGGAATGAAGTTGGAATTGAATTATCCTGGGCGCAGGCCTTAAAATTGTTAGAATATCCCAGTCGGCCCAACCCAGCAAAGTGAGGTAACAGGCACAAAAGAGCTGGGTACATCCAAGCGCTAAGCAGCATAAAGCATATGTTTCTAGTTGTGTAGAGTGTCTGGAAGTGCATCATTGACTTTGTCAGCAGGTACCAGCGGTTAAAGGCAATGAGGGCCAGCGTCATGACGCTGGCACCCAGACATATCCATGCCATGGCCGAATTGGCTGCGCAAATCCAACCGGGCAAAGGCCATCCGTCACGGCTTAGCATGGCGACAACATTAAACGGGAGACAGAGGCATATGAGAAGGTCGCAACAGCTTAAGTTGACAACGAACCAGTTGGTGGATGAGCGGAGTTTACGGGAAAGGACTACTGCGGTGATGACGAGTGTATTGCCGATGGATCCCACAACGAAGACGATACATAAGAAAGTCGCTATAGCAATGCGCTGGTTGTAATCTTCAAACACAAAGATATCCGTATCGCTACTCCTATTAGTGATTATGGCCATGGTTGTTGGGATGATATTACCTTCCATAATTATCTCGTCTTACGTCGTCGGCTCGTCTTCTGAAAAATAGAAATAGAAATCATGAAGAGAAGAAGTAGATTAAATCAGTTTAAACATACGCTACTGTCCGTTGCATATGCGGCGTCACTTGACTGACGTTTTGGACTGCGTCCATGATTAGTACTAGAGCGCTTTCGCAAACACGACGGAAGCAAAGGTGACGGGAGAATTCACTCAACTGAGATCAATTAATGTATGTAGTTCGGATTCTGTCTATTGGAATATTATTATTCTTATCAGGTGAATGAAATAATTTGTTTTGAGGTACTTCACAAAGACTTATGCATTAAATTGGGATATACGAAAATGGCCTATTGTACAGTGAAACAGCTTTCCCGTCGTGTTTGGAAAACGAAACTATTATGGTCGAGAACGGTCGTGAAAATCAACAAGACGGAGAAAATGCTGGTTCGCGCATGGGCAGATTGATTGTTTCGCTCGGTTACCCTCGTCTTTGCCTGCCGTCGTGTTTGCGAAAGCGCTCTAATGTCCTTTATGACGCGCAATGTTGGGATGATAAAAAGTGATCGTAAAATGAAAAGGGCATCCATCGATACGAAATGCTAGTTCAAGCACAAATTGCCAGCCATCAATGGTCTAATTAATATAGCCTTTATATATTACGCAATCGAATTGTCGCCCCGTGTGCAAAGCATAGGGCATAACATGTAACGCATACACGTAGCCTCTTTCGGATGAAATGGACGACATTATGTATTTCGTTTCAATTGCCGAAAAACAATACCGACTTTGTCAAGATTCGTGTTAGCCGGCTTCATGCATGAATGGACAACGCCATGATCACTTGATGAACGTTATGACGATGATCGTCATAATGTTCCAAATGCTGAAGGTACAATATCTGATATCACTATAGAACTAAATTAGCATGACACATACGATCTATGTCATAAACACCTTTATATAATACTTTCAGAGCGAACAAAAGAAAAGAAATAAAGGATGCTTCATGAAATTCGTTCATGATTGGATGTTAAGTAGAGCTTATCCATGATCATACCCATCATTTCTTTGACTTAAGTATATTTATTGTTGGTTATTAAAGGGACAGTTGAGTTCTTATTTAAAGGTACTGTGTCCCATTTGCAGCCAACATCATATGCATTTGGGTTTCACTTTAAAAGAAAACGTTGTATTTAACATGAATGAATACAAAATACCAGCACCAGCAAACTCGGTATTGATCGACGCCTTCTTCTTTCTGTTTTTTACTCTCCACGATCATTTACATGTATTCATGAATTGTATACATTAGGGCCCGAATTCACAAAGGAGGTTTGTCGACAAACCTTGGTTTTCGTGCGTCATATGACGCGTTTCGACGCGTTTTTACAAACCAGGTTTGTAAAAAAAACCTCCATGTTGAATTCGGGCCTATGAGTTGAGTTTGAGTTAAAGATAAAGGTGAGTTCTGGTCATCCGATTAATTGTGAAAGAAAAGGTGTTGAATGGATCAGAAAAAATTGATCATGTATGATGTAGCATGTAAGTATTAGTGTGTACTCCAAAGTTCTGGAGTCATCAAAATCATAATAAATTTGACCCAGTCTTGGTAAGGTAACAAGCACTGTACAGAAAGATTTATATGGGACTACACAAATGATGTCGGGGCTACTTACCTTGATTTCCTAATCTTTCAATGCTCATTGAATTGTTTGGTGAATGACATTTATTTGTAATCTTGAATATTCAGTGTAAGTTTCGTTTGATTCTGTGAGAATTCATTTTCATTTTTTTTTTACCAGAACTCACCTTTATCTTTAACAGAACTTAATGGTGAGTTTATATACTCTTGACAGATAGCAACCAAACTATCCATATTTCCAACAGGAAAAAGAAGCATTCCAGAATCAAATGTAAATATCAAAATAATATTTACTTACACGGTATGAAGATGAGCAGTTTGCACTACGATGGTTCTACAAACTGAGTGACTCCAACGCCGTATACATGTAGTAAATAGATTATGAAGTACACTGACTGCCATAAAAGACTTCCTGTACCCTGTTTGCCATCATCAGAGTGTGATTAAAGAAGCATGGCAGCCAAAGTGATATAGAAAGGGCGAGAGAGAGAGAGAGAGAGAGAGAGAGAAAGAGTGAGAGAGATATGGAAATATAGTTTTGTCCACACATGAAAATGGAAAACCTGTCATGACGAATGTTGGCAAAAGATAACAAATGATTCATTGAACCGATCGGTTTAACAAAGAAGTTATTCTTTTGTAGCGCGTCACAGTTTTTGTATAGGCTGAGCGATGGATACCCTCGCACGAATCAATGCTAGGAAATATTTTGAGAATCAATTCTTGACAATGTCGGGGTATATGGAATTAAAGTGACTCGGTAACATTGCTGAAGGTTGATGGAAAAAATGCGTCATTTTTGTATCAATGTTACTTATTATATTCCTTCTACTGTACTAATCCCCTGACATGCACAATTTCCTGAAACATTCTCAAACCACAAAGATATTTATAGTTTTCTTTGAAGGCTTCACTGTGCGACATCCTCTAAACAGTGAATTCTCCCAACCGTTTTTGAATTTACCCAACCGTTTATCTATGAGAAGAAGACATAATACAAGTTGTAAACAAAATGTCAACACTTAAATGTCTGGAACGGTATATAGAGCCAATTTTTTGCTATTTGTGACGATTTACATTCACCTAAAATGTAATTAAATTGTAATAATATAGTTGGGAGAATTAACGAATCGATCGGAACAGTTTTTCCCGATTTTTATCATTAATAATGGTCTGTTTTCACTCAAACTTCCAGACTATCTTTAATTGTATATGTAACATTGAAGTTACTACGTTAGCACCATTTTATCTCATCTGAACAATGTTACCAAGTCCCTTTAACAAAATGTTCCAGATAGTAGGGAACCTTGGAAATATTACCACGATCAAACTATATTCTTACGCCCAGGTGAGTTGTTTGCTTTGTGTGTTATTTCTGCAAATAGTTTCAGTTGAGTTCCTCCTTCGGAAGCACCTATACACGATGAAATGATACACACATTAAAAGAGTATTCGATAGAGAGCAAATGTGTCTTTAAACAAATGAAAAAAAGGAATATCTTTACAATAATTATCAAAAACAAAAGTTATTGTCGATGGCTAATGCCAACTCTCTTTGCAAGAGTTTATTATGAGATTTGAAACTGGGTCATGCATATCTGCATATTACATTTAGGCCTACAATGTACATGTATTATATTTGTTGTAAACGTTCAAATATTCTTGCATTCTATACAGTCTCTGGTATTAAAAGCAAATCGTAAAACGAGAAGTGTACTTCGTCTCATGAATTCTTATGAATCTGCTGAAAAAACGAACCGAATAGTACTTTAAAAAAAATTAAAACTTATAATTCCAACATGTCTAGCATGTTAAATGAACGATCTGAATAATATATATCAGTGGCACGTCCAGAAACCGATAGACTCGAGGGTGGGAAATTTCGATTCCTACATATAGGGAGGGGCCGGGAGCGAAGGCCTATACCTGCATGGGCAGCCCTGTGTGATTATATTTTTTTGTCGTGGCATCAAACGGGTGCGAACGTCAGCTCCATCCCTTGCTCAATACGCCACCGAATGAATGTTAATATGTGTTTGCTAACATTATATGCAGTAACAGAACGTTGTCGTTTCCACATCGACGTCTTCTAATTACATGTATATGCACTATTTCCGTGTTGAGGCCTCGTAACGTACTTGACTTACAATTTGTCCCTATTCAGGCATTGTTCGAATATCGAGGTTAAGTTGGTACAAACTGAGCCGTGTTAAAAATAAAGTTTGAATACCGTCCTCTCCGATTGCATCAAAAGTTGTATGCCCAATAATATTAAATTCCTGTATTTAAAAACATAATTTTTCGTTGATTTTTATATTGTTTTAGTACATTCGATAATAATTGATTTTGTTTGAATCATATTTCTTTATTTTGTGTGACAGCTAGATATAAGCATATCGATATAACAAGAGAGAGAGAAAGAGAGAAAGGGGGTACGAAATCCGTCAAGCAATAGAGAGGCTTCGGTAGAATAGACAGACAGAGGAAGAAGCTAGAGAGAAACTTGAGTATTGGGTTATTTAGACAAACAGAGAAAGCAAAAAGATTGATCATTGTGTGTGTGTGAGAGAGAGAGAGAGAGAGAGAAAGAGAGACTGAAATAGAAAGGGGAAGACTGTTTATATGTAGCTTATCAATCAGAGTTTCCACACGGTCATAAAGGTCCTGTTCACATTTAAAACAAACTTGGGTAACGTGTTTACACTTTGCTACAGTAAGTCTATGTAAGTGGCCACAGGCTTGTTCACATCCCAGTTGTCAGTTGTGAAATGGGTGCCACACACACTATCATATCATGAGGCGTTCATACACATCGTAAACATAATCCTACTCTTATTTTAAAGTGTATTGAATTAGTACACACATAATACTTGCAAAATTAACTCATCAATTCATTATACTGTTTAATAACATATACCGGCGATTTATTGTGTGTCTCAATACTGAAGTAAATCAGCATTAACTTACTCATCCAATTCTTCGGATGCATATTCACATCCAACACCTATTTACAAGCTCATTAAGAGATTTGCTACACTACGCGACCGATCATCTAATAACTCAAAGTCAATGAGAAATTCGGATTTTTAAGAAATAAATCCCACCCTCCATTCATTTAACACTAACAAGTAGAAACCATAATGACAGATTTTCACCTTGTATGGAATTTTTGACCACTATCCCGTCTTCTGATAAAAAAAAAACAAAAAACGAATCTTATCACATATGTACTGTAAAGTCGCAGCTCCATCATAATAGGCTTTTTAAATGTTAAAAAAGGACTGAAACGCGTAGTAAATTGGTTCAATAAGCATTTTGACCAATTATAAAGTTT